AGCGCCAACCAATGACATGCCGGGCAACAGAATGTCAATTCGCGTTGTAATAATTGTCTAGATCGGAGTAGAGTTTTGGCTTGTGTGTGCAGGATTAACTACGATAACGATGAAGACATAAAGTGAAACAAAGTGTCGAAGTCAAGTGCGAAGGATTTGTTGCGAGTTCGAGAGTTCGACGGAAGTCCGAAGGTTCGTCGGGAATGCTACCGGAACTAGCCGAGAATGAGTAGGGAGCTTGCCGAAGGGTTTTTCGGAAGCTCACCAGAAGGTTCGTTGGAAGTTCGCGGAGCTCACCGAGAAAGATCGGAGCTTGCCGAAGAAGCTCGTTGGAACTCGCCAAGATCAAATCGTGAAGTCTAGGAGCTTGTTGGGAGTCCGCAGAATGGTTTCTGAGAGTTTATCCGAAGACCGTCGGAAGTTCGCCGGAAGCTCGCCAGAAGAAGTCTTGACTTGTGGACTTTATAATAGCTTAGGAAATGTCTTTAAATTCGTATTTAGCATGTTAATTAGGGTTAGGATTAGGTGTTAATCCTATAACCCAAGTAGGGGTCAATTGGGCCCTCGGACTGGTTTGGGCCAAGTTTGGAGCCCAACTAGTGAGCTAAAATAGTGTAGGCGGTGGCGCCGCCTAGAACCCAAGAACTGAGCGGTGGCACCGCCCAGAACCCGAGAGGTCGGGCGGTGGCACCGCCAGCCTCGGGAACCCAAGAGAATTCAAAATTTAGAGCCCAATTTTGAATCCTCTTGGGGCCTATAAATACCTCTTAATTCTCAACTAAGATTACAACCTTTGAGAAGCATTAGATTGAGACAAAAGCCTTTGTAAAGTTTTTGGCAAGCCTTGTTTTCAATTGCTTGAGTGTTCACCTTCTTCCTTTTCGTTGAAGATTTGTAAGAGTGTGAACCATTTGTAAAATGGTTGTAAGAGGGGTATTTGTCCTTCCCCTTCAAAGTGATTTGCTAGTAGAAGTTAGGAGCCTCATTGAAGAAGGCTTCGCAAGTGGATGTAAGTCATTTTGACCGAACCACTTTAAATTGGTGTGTTCTCTGGTTTGTATTTACTTATTGCTATTTACCTTACTGCAAACCTTCATACATGCTTTACTTCCTCATTACTTTTGCTGCACACCTTTACGAATACGCTTT